CAAAAATAAATTGTTTCAGGTAGCAAATTGCCTTCTCTTGCAAATCTTTATATTTTTCTATATTGCCCACCTTTCTCAAACAAGAAATCTTTGAGTTTTCACATTCCTCTCCCCAGGGAGACAATACATCTTTAATTCATATCAACTATGTCCTCTAAAAATGTCCACTTAATCAACCCTCTTTTCCTTCTCCTTGGACTGTACTTCATAAACAACCAAATGACATTCAAGGGTCATTATCTAGCCTCAGTGAACTTTCTTGGACTCATTTCTCAGCAGTATCCACACTGTATTCTGTGAAGAAATGAAAATGAGACTTAACAACCAACTGACCTTAATTCCTCAACCTTATTGTGCTGCTTTTGATGCTTGGAGTGACACCATCATTTACCAGATACATTTTTATCTATCCTTTTGTTTTTTGGAGGGGAGGAGATGCATAAGATTTAACTCATGCTTGTACCATGGAGTTATACTCCCAACCTTCTCTATCCTTCAAAAAAATCAGGCATTTCATCCTCTAGGAAGGTTTCTCTCACCCCATACTCCTCTCTAATATCCACCCTTCAAGTAAGTACCTTATACATACATACACACACCCCACATTTAATGTTTTAACTCTTACATGTTTTTTCTTCTACAAGTCCTTTACGATAGCTCCTCAAAGGCAGGCTTGCATCATCTACCTTTATACACTGTGCCCAGAATAGCACCATGTGCCTGGATTACAGTAGGTATACAGCAACATTTACTAAACCCAGTTTAAATAATTTCTGAATATTTGAAATCATAAGCTAGATTAGAATTTTAAATTCATGTTTTAATTTGGTTCATCTCAACCGTTAAAAAACAAGACACACTGTAACCCCAGCACTCTAGGAAGCTGAAGCAGGAAGACTCCACATTGGAGCCCAGTCTGGGCAACTTGGCACTTAGCCAGACCCTGACTGAAAAAGCAAAATAACACTTGGGGTGTGTGTGTTATTAGAAAGCTAGCATGAACCAAGGACCTCTAAGGAGAATTTTTCTGAAAGAAGTTGCCTTCTTTCTCTCCTACTTCCCCAGTCTCTGCTTCTTCAAACTTTTAATTTGCACATGGTCAGTTCTGGCCTCAGCAGCCTCTCTCTGACTCTTTAACCTCAGTTGTCTAGCTACTGGCAATTTATCTCCATACTATCTAATTCAAATTTCTGAAAGGATTATTTTCTGTTTGGCACTAGACCACCATGTCCCAATTTTCTCTCCCTGGTAAGCTCTGCATCAGCTGCTCTATGGTTCCATTTATGCCAGAAGGTTCAGGACCAATCAGCTACTATTTCTCCAACCCTTAACTCAAGCTACTATTTTGATTTCCTCAGACCCATTTCTAAAATAAGCATATTGTTAAAATAATTTTGCAATACTTTTAAAAACAAGTCTTGACAAATCATGTTCACAGTGAGAAAAATCCAACATACCTCTTCACCAAACCAGTTACGCATTACAAATATGCAAAAAGTTAACTTTTTATGTCTATATGTGCACAGAAGGAATTGTCTAGATTATCATTGCTCAACACAATGGTTTCCAAAGCATTTTTACAAGCTTTTTGAAAAATTTCCTATGCATACATAATGAAAAGAAATGAGTAGATCAGGCATTCCCTGGTTAAATTCTAACCCATAATATCAAATACCTGTATATAAGGATAAGTACATACAATGGCAATCTATCCCTAACCAACAAAACCTGTTTCTCTTCCTCCAAACTAACATCACTAGGTCATGACTGAAGAAAGCTGCTCACTGCAAAGCTCCCTTGTTGGGGAAAAAAGGGGGCTGACAGCGAGACAGGCACTTTTAGGCTGGTCTCCAGTAAAAGCAGATTCTCGGTGATATTAATCTCCTACTTCAAAACTAGAAAAAAAATCAAATTAAATGTCTATTATATCTAGAAACATACCACACTTTGACTAAGATCACATGTAACACAATGAGAACACTATACACACCTTTGAAAGAAGAGAGCAATTTATTCACTAAAAAAAATCTTGATATTCCATGATTCAATATTCACTGAAAAATACTGCTAGAAAAATGATATGTGATAACAGCCACTCAGAAAATCTGAGGAGAAAGAAAGCTTTTCAAAAACATACTGTCCTTATGCATTTTAGAATAAAGGAGAATTTTCTATTTAAAAAATAAGTAGGGCCAGGGATTTACCTCAGTGGTTTCGCTGTCTGCTGCGCAAGCACAAGGACCCAAGTTCGATCCCCAGTACCAAAAAAATAATAATAATTAAGTAGCCAATTAGCCAACCTGTTTATGAACTATCACTGATGACTCATTTTTGTTTCATCTATATTAATGAGCAGCTGACTATGTAACATCATAAACAGCATTTTAGACTGTTAATAAACATATAATCTTAACAAATTCAATTTCAGAGGACAAATATTGGTACAGTTTAGAGTTCTGATGCTGCCCAGGCTAGCCTTGAAGTTGTGATCTTCGTGCCTCAGACTCCCTCATAGAGTACAGATATGTGCTATCACGCCTAGGATAATTTCCTAAATTTAAAAAAAAGTCAGAGATGGTGGCACATGCCTATAATTCCAGCACTCCAGGAGGCTCAGGCAAGAAGACTGCTGCAGGTTCCAGGTCAGCCTGAATTACACGGCTAGACCCTGTTTCAAAAAACAAAAACAACTTCACAAAGACAATGTGTCACTTATCTTGCAGAAATTTAGTCACACATTAAGTTGTATGCCCCTTATTCTTTTGAATATAATTGTAGAGATAAGTCAGAAGACTTTCTGTAGGACATTCATTGTATTCCTAAAGCACAACAGACTGATTTGTTGGCACAGGATAAGCTGGGCAAAGAATGTAGCTCAAGGGTAGAGCACTTGCCTAGCACCTGTTGAGACCTTAGGTTTGATCCCAGCACCACAAGAAGGGGATGGGTGGGGGTCAAAAGAAAAGCTTACAGTGATTTTTATTTATTTATTATGCTTATGTACAGTTGTCAAATTGAAACATGATGAAGCACTAATTTCTTTACCTTTCAGAGTTACTGCAGAGTACTTAAGTATGATAAGTCAAGAAATTAAATTATTGAAATCTATAAAGGTAAACCAGAGAACAGTTTAACAACCAAAAATCTACTCATTATCAACTTTATAAAATGGAACACATTCAAAGTGAAATATCCATCAAACTGTGGGTAAGGTTTTAAAAAATGAAAAAAAAAAAAAAAGGAAGCTTTTCTCTCATCTTGCAAAGTTCATCGCTGACCATGAGCCAAAATGGAGAAAATAGCTCTGGTGAAGGTTTTAAAAATGAAAAAAAAAAAAAAAAGGAAGCTTTTCTCTCATCTTGCAAAGTTCATCGCTGACCATGAGCCAAAATGGAGAAAATAGCTCTGGTGACAGCTACAAATTAAAAACAAAACAAAACAAAAATGCATTTCTTGGTGTTTAAAATCAAAACCTTCTCACTTGTGTTTTAAGTAAAATCAGTTATAATACTGTCCAATATATATAAACACCTATAAATCACTCCTGAACACAGTCAAGCTTAACAAAGGCCAGAGGCTTCCAGGTAGTAAACTAGAAAGTCCTTACATCTAATCAATAGGACATATAGGGCTTATATTCTCTTTGAAATCAAAACAACAGAGCAATTTGAAAGTTTGCTCTCTTCACTGATCCTCTCAGGAATGTGAATGTACTACAGTTTCAACCTTGTAGTCCTTGAGGATTTTTTTCAAGCAATTTACTTCTGCCTAGATAAGCAATAAAATAGGCCAAAATAGATACGTTTTCTGTTAATCCTTAGTCTCAAACGTTTATGCTCACACTAACCTTACATCTTACTAATGCTTCTAAACATAATTACCTCAAAGAAATTCCAAATCACAACTGAATTCAAAGGAAGAAAAGTACATCACTGACGACCAAATGAGACTTAACACGCTATCATGACTGGATTATTTATGGTAACCACAGTAGATATAACTCAGGTAATGAGTAAAGAGCACAAAATTTATTTTTAAAATTTTTTATTAGTACGTGTTTGCAGTACATAATAATTACATTCATCGTGGGGATTGGTACATGTACATATCTTAAATCTTTTTTCATCCCTTTGCTCTCCCCTTCCTCCTCCTTCCTTCCATCTTTCGTCTCTTTCCCTTTCGTGAAAGATCTATTTCCCTGTTTACTATTATCTACCTTTTATTTATACTTTGGGTTTCTCATATAAGAGAAAACGTTCGATATTTAAGCTTGTATGTCTGATCTATTTCACTTAAAGAGAGCGCAGAATTTAAAGCTGTGCCTCTTTCTCTTCACACCTTGCAACAATACAGTATCTCACCCTATTGGATGGTCCGTGAAACACAGACAAGAGTTGACAAAATCTTAGTTTACACATTTGCTACTTATCTTGGTCATAAAGAAATATCGAAAGCACATCCTTAAAAACGCATCAATTTTAAAGTATAATCCCTACGTCCAATATACTGACAACCTGACCATTGTCCACTACACTTCATGAACTTTTCCACGGCAAAGATAAACCTGACTTAAAACCAGAGGATTTAGGCCTGTCGGTAATCAAAGGGCCCTGCTAACTGAAGCAGCCCTATCTTCTAGACCCACAGCAAAGGGAGTTAACTGAGGCATCACTCGGAATCTTCCACTCTCGACCCCAAATACGCCCGGACGAATGACGTAAAGCCCTTGCAAATCCCTGAGTAGCCGAGAGGCTGGTCACCACCGGGTGCACCCACTCTATCCCGAGGCTGCTTCTAGGACTCCGCTCCGCCCCTCAAGCCCCAGACTCCCGAGGGCCCTGACCACACCTGGGGGGACCGGGAGACTCCCGAGCCCCCTAGCTCGCCCACCCTCCACCCCTGCCTGGAGCTGCCGGCCAGCCCCTCACCCTTCCCCCCTCAAGCCAAGCGCAGGCGGCCGCCCCTCCGCTCCCACCCACGCCCCGACCCGACCTACTCACCCTCGGTAATAGGCTTTCACGCGGACCTGGTGAGAGTAGTCCCCGCTGCCGCCGCCCGCCACCGTGTGGGACATGGTGCTGCTGTCCCTCTGGGTAGGCATCTCCTCACTCCCCCGCCGCGGCACGGGAGGCCGCGGGTGCCAGGGGCGCGCCGCGGACTCGGCCGCCAGCGCCTGCTTGAGAGCTGCGACCGCCCGCTCGCCTACCTGTCCGGCCACCTCGCCTCGCCTCGCCTCGCCGACCCAAGGGTCGCCCGGCCCGGCAACCGGAACCGCGCGGCTCCTCCCACCGCCCGCGGCTGCGGCCGTCCCTATCGCCGCCCGGGCCCAGCCCGCCTCCCCGCTGGGGTCCCTCCCACCTCGCTCGCTCTCAAGGCCCACATTCCAGGGTAGGGCGGGCGCTACCTTACAGCCTGCTCCAGGAGCCTGGAGCCGGGCGACACCATCTTTCCGGGGCTGGAGACGGGTGGGAGAGGACAGTGGACCGCTCACCCGAACACCAAGTACGTCCGCGGTCAGGCTTTTCGTGGAAGCTGTGATAGGAAATTCACGAACATATTTCTGCAGAAGCTCCTTCCCTGCAGGAAAAAATGGTAGGAGACAGATTCAATGGCATCTCACCCCAGTTCCCAACTTGGTCACGTCCGCAGTCAGCCGACTGGGCACTCGGGTTAGATTTGCGGTGCGGGATTCTGGGATCTGGAGTCTGGGTAGGATTCTGGGACTTGTTTTCTGTTGCGTGCTTCGCCGCACCTTCTCGCAGATAGTGTGACTCTACTGTGCTTCCCGGAAACTGTGGATGTGGAAATTTTGAATACAGTTTGAGATTTGAGGGCACTGCATGTCGCTAGGCTTCGTCACGATCTAGACTTTGTTCACTGATTAATTCTCCTTGTCAATCGCATATATTATCTAAATTATACAAAGCTTTCTTGGGAATAAGATTTGTTTACCTGTTCATTATTGCCTTTTATGGAAAGAATTATGACAAATGTATCAATGGATGTAAAAAAAAAAAACTGGAAAGATTTACCTCAAAGATATGGGGGAAGACAGACTTTAATCTTTCAGGCCCTCCACATGGAGGCCCCTGTATATTGTCATTGCATGAAACAGGTGAACAGTGAATACTTAACAGCTAACCAGCCAGTCATCCAATCCATTAGCATTTGTTCTGTTGACACCGGCCAACCAAGGATTAGAAAGAATTTATTCTTATAACCTATTCTCTTGACTTTCCTGGGGTCATGGCTACGTCACATAATTTATACAGTATTTCGGTTATAGGTAGTATGAATCCAGCCTTTCCAATCTTGGTACCGTTGCGTGCTGAAAGCGTTGAAATAGTAATTTTGAAAATAACTACTTTTGTGATAATAAATTAGACTTGGGAGATTGACTCATTAGAGTTACATGTGACACAGCTTGGTATGACATCCTCCAACTGCTATAAACTTGGATTATGTTCTTAATGAAACTGCCCGTTGAATAACTTAGCAGTTTTTTGACAATTGAGAACCTCCATCAGCATATTAAATATGGATTGATGAGCTATGGACTGTTATGCCTGCAGTTAGATGGTCAAATTTTAATTGGATTATTGGAAACTTTGGTATATTTGTGACAAATTTGACATTATATGATGCTGTAGAAAAATAAACAGAAGGAACAAAAATTTATAGAGAAATGAAAGTTCAGGCATAGAAAGCTTTTTTTTTTCTTTTTTAGCCCTTGTTCTTTAGAACCTTTGAAAAATCCTTCATCATTGATCTCATAGCATGCTTTGAAGGTGACTTGAGAGAGGCTTACTGCTTACTTTGTTGCCTACAGGAATCTGTAAATATTTATAATTTGCATCTGTATTGCCACATATAAGTTTTCCTTTTCGTAGAAGTAACCCTTTTTTTTTTTTTTTGGTACTGGGGATTGAACTTGGGACCTTGCACTTGTGAGGCAGGTGCCGGAACCACTGAGCTAAAAATCCCTGGCAGTTTTCCTTTTCTTAAAGATGAGAAATTAAAAGTAGACTATGGTGGCACATGCCCTAGTCCCAGCTACACAGGAGACTGAGGCAGGGGGATACTTTGAGTTTGAAATCAGCCTGGGCAACGTAGTGAGACCTTGTCTCAAACAAACAAAAGCAAAAAAGATGAGAGATTATCAGGGAAAACATGGAATTAAATTTTTATTATTTTTATTGAGGTATAACTCAACATACAAGTCACTCATTTAAAGTGTACAATTCAGTAGTTCTTAGTATAGTCACAAAATTGTGTAACCACAACTACTATATAAATCCAAAATATTTTCATCACCCCAAAAAGAAACCACATACCCATTAGCAGTGACTTCCCATTCTCCTTGCCCTCTGGCAACATATCTTTGGTTTTACTATGGATTTTCCTATTCTGGACGTTTCACGTAAATGGGATCATACAGCATGTGGCTCCTTTCCCTTAGTTTACTATTTTTGAGGTTCATCTATGTTGTATTGTATATCAGTGCTTCATTCCTTTATATGGTTAAATAATATTCAGCCACATAGGTGTACTACATTATTGCTGCCATGAACATTCATGTACAAGTTTTGTGTGGGCATATTTTTAATTCTTTTGGGTAGGAGTACCAATTTACCTAAGGGTAAATTGCAGTCATATGGTAACTATATTGAACATCTTGAGGAATGCTGAAGTTATATTCCAGAGTGGCTCCACTGTTTTACATTCCCACAGCTATGTATTGAAAGTTCCAATCCTTTACTTCCTTGCCCATATTTGTCATTTCCCTACTTTTTTTTTTATTACAACCATCCCAGTGATTTGAATGGCCATTTATATATCTCCTTAGAGAAATGTCAATTCAGACCCATCTAAATCACACAAAGATTCCTTAAAATTGGACTGTCTCTCTTCATTGAAGTTTTAGTTGTTTTTGTTTGTTTTTTGAAACAGGGTCTGGGTATGTAGCCCAGGCTGGCTTCGAACTTGCACTTGCTACAGTCCTCCTGCCTTGGCCTCTCAATTACTGGGATTACGAGCATGGACCGTCATGCCTGGCTTGCAGTAATAACTTTTTAAATAGTGAAGTTTGGGCCAGGGATTTAGCTCAGTGGTTCCGGCACCTGCCTTGCAAGGGAAAGGTCCTGAGTTTGATCCCCGGTACCAAAAAAAAAATAAATTAAATAGTGAAGTTTGAGTTTTACAACTTTGTTTTTTTCAAGAGAGTTGGCTATTCTGCATCCCTTATATTTCCATATGAATTTTAGGATTAACTTGTTAATTTCTCTAAAAAAAAAAGAAAGAAAAGCCAATAGGGATTTTAATAGAGATTGCATTGAAAGTGTACATCTGTTTGTGGGGGTTTGTTACGGTTTTTGTTTGTTTGTTTGGTCGGTTTTTTAGACAGCGTCATGCTATGTAGCTCACAACAGCCTTGAAAATGGCTAAACTGCATTTTTCAAGGCTGAGGCAGGAAAATCACCATGAGTTTGAGGCCAGCCTGGACTATATAGTGAGTTCAAGTCCAGCCTGAACTACATAGTGAGACCGTCTTAGGTACTTTTTTCTCATTGCTGAGACAAAATACTTGACACACAAAGTTAAAGGGGGGAGGTTTATTTAGCTCACGGTTCATAGAGATTTCAGTCTGTAGGTGCCTGGCTGCAAGGCAGGGTAGCAGAAGGCAGAGGGGCAACAGTTCATGGCGGCAGAAAACAGCAAAAGTAACAAGGGACCTGTTAGTGTCTTTCTGCCCCTTTTATCTTGTCCAGACTACCAGGATTAGGGTGATGCCAAACCAATCACTCACATGGTTTAGTAATCACACACTTTTAATCCCAGCATCACACACTCTGGATTCAGCCACCTCAGAAAAAGCCCACCTATGACTGCAAGAGGTTTTGGGGGACATCCTAACACAAGCTAGTCTCAAAAACCAAAACCAAAAAAAAATTTTTAATTAAAAACATTTTTTAAAAATGGCTAAACTGAAAATGTAAACCTTTACATTCAGTCTGAATTAGCCTTTCCAATGTACTCTTCAGCCCGTAGTGAATATGAACATTTGTTTGCTGTCTTCTTCATATTGTCTTAAAAATCTTGCTACTGGCTCTTCAATGCTTGTTTCTCAAATGAGAATCAAGTTTACACAGTGGGAAGCCAATGACAGATAGTGAAAACAAGCATCCCAGCCGATTTTTCTTTCTGCTTTTCCCAAAATGGTGCTAATACTCTCAACTTTGCATAAACCTTCTACTTTTAGCTACTTTCAGTGGTTTCACTGAGCATGCAATAATCACATTTAAAGAAAGAGGTTCAGACTGGAAGTATTGATCATTTAGCGAGATCTTGTGCCCTTATGGAGGTAAACATTAGACACCTGCCTGAATTATACTTGCCTTTGGCTCAGTGCAATACCTTTAATAGGAGAAAATTAATTAATGCTAAGATTCATAGGATTAAATGATTTTAAATACTTTTGACCAACTTTGTCTCATTTTGTGATCATTAGAGTGCATGTCCCAATGTGGAACAAAGAAATAACCTGCTTTGAGAGAATGAATAATAAACACAGATTCTATGTGATCATTTCTTGTATTACATTGTTTTATTAACCTTTAAAAGCACAGTCATAGCCAAAAATCATCAAAACTTCTAATTGGAGTCTCTGAAAGCTGAGGTTAGTGAAAGTTTAGTTTTCTATTACTCTGATGAGTTACTTTAGATAGCTAGTGTTCCCCAGATTTCCTTGTCTCCTTTTCTCCCTTCTACACCCCACCCCTGCATCTACCCCACTGATGTCGGCTTTATCTCCAAGTCATCTCTGGGTTTTTCCCTTCATTCCAGCCGCATAAGCTTATTTATGTTATGGTTCTCCAATTTCATTCCCACACTGCAGATAATGACATGTAGTTAGGAGTTTGAGCCTTAATCTGTCTTGTCTTTGAAATATAATTGCTTTGCTTCAAGTTTAAAATATTAAAAATTAATATCTTATTCCTGGATAATCACAGAAAAGGAAGCTCATAGATTGATGCCTGTGACATATATCCCTGTCCACACACAAACACACACACACTATCCTCTGGTTATTCTGAAATGCCCTGCTGAACTCAGTCCCAACCCCAGGTGACTTCCCTGCTCCTTCAACAGGAAGTATTTATAGACTCACCTGTGTTCCACAGGCTGTTAGGTTATAATTCAGTTACAGCACTATTGTGCAATATCATACTACTTTAATTTTTTTTCGCATACTTGTAAGGAACTGGAACTGGGATGTGTTTGTCTCTGTGTTCCCTGTACCTAGCACATAATAGGTGCTCAAATAGTATCTGTTGACACCGAACAGCTACCACTTTGCTTCTTACACCCTCTGCCATAGATACTAAGGATTGAATTCAGGGCCTTTGTACTCAGCTATATCCTCAACCCTTTTTAAAGTTTTTGTTTGTTTGTTTTGGTTTTTGAGACAGGGCTTCACTATATAGTTCAGGCTGGCCTTGAACTCACTATGTATCCCAAGCTGGCTTCAAACTTGCAGCAATCCTCCTGCCTCAACCTCCCAAACCATGCCTGGCCTACTTTTTAAATTTTAGGACAGGGTCTCATTTGAATTGCTGTGTTGTCCAGGCTGAGCTCAAACTTGTGATCCTCCTACTTCCTCTTCCCAGAGTGCTGGGATTACAGGTGCTTTATCTATAAAATGAAGGTAACAAAAATTATTT